TACTTACTGAATTCGTTAATGACATGTAGTTGGCTAATAGATAATATTCTAGAAGACAGAAATAAAATTCAAAACAAACCTGATAGGCTGGATCAACAAAAATATGCTTTCTAGATCAGTGGAAGTAATTGTTCCACATTATTCTGCTTTGGTCATTTTGAATAGCCTGTCCAACTCTGAGCACCATATTTTAAGAATGGTTCACAGAAATTAAAACTGGCCCAAGAAAAAAGGAATGAAGATCATTAAGAGACCAAAGTCCTATGAAAGGAGGAGTGAAAACACTTAAGGGATTTCAGGGACTAGAAATTAAGTTATATGAAAGAAGTTTTAAAAATTGGATATGTTTAAATCAGAGAAAATGGTACTGAAGGAGTAGATGACAGTACTCTTTGTGCTTTATGCCTAAAATGGGACTATAATTCCTGGATTCCCGGTTTCTAGCCTGGTCCACTATACCAAGCTGGCTCTCAGATGGTATACCATATTTGAAAGAATGTAGTTGTCGGGCTTCAAGCTAGACATAGCAGTAAATCTTGATTCTCCAGACACCTAGTCCTATATTCAGGAACTGTTTTTTCAGCAGAAGTTTCACAGACATAGCACCACAAGTTTAATTTCTTGATTTCAAACAAAAATGAAGGCATATATACACAGAAGACCTGCTTACTGAAGCACACACCACTCAGATCCTCTGTATAGGTTTGTACTCCAATATTTATGGCATTTTTTCCCCTGCCATTCTAAGTTACAGATATTGAGTTTTTTGTCTTCATGGCCTTGAGACTGGAAGGCAGATGATCAGAACTGACATAAAGTTCTATCTGTTGGAATGAATAAACTGATGCAATAATATGAATTAAATTGATATTCTCAAGACTGTTGTCACTTCTACTTCATTTCAGATTCTTCTTGATATCTAAGGATGCACCATGCCAACACTATCAGAATAAGTAACTAGACTTTCTATCACCTTGTTACTTCCTCAATTTTTTTTTTTGTTTTCTTTCATGCAAGCATCATCTACCAGAATTCTTACTACAAACACTATACTTCTAACTTTATTGTCTCTTGCTGTGTACTTTTATTCCATTGTGTGACACTACCTATGCCAGTATTTTTCAGGTCTGAATATTTGAGGCTTGGTGCAACAAATGAATTAATAAGTAATCGCTCAGGCTCAATAGCTTTATTTATTTATTTTATTTAGCATATGGCAAGGTCTAACAGTTGGTGCTATTGGAGACACCCCAAAACTTATCTTTATCTTCAAACACATAATTTCATCTCCAAAAAATTGTTTCCAGTTGGTGAAAATTAATGATGCAGTTTCTGACCGTACTAAAGCAGAAATACATGAAAAGTGCAATGTAAGCTAACCTTGTTTTTAAATGACAGGGAGCAATTTTAGGAATTGCTGAAAGAGGGAGGCAAGGGAAGGGGAAGGAGGATCTGGAAAACTAGCTATAAATCAGCCAGTTGGATATCAATACCTAGAAAATTCTAGAGCAGATCCTAAAAAGATTCCACACTGAATATAACTCACGACTATGATGTGGCTGCATACAGCATATAGTTGCATACAGCATACAGTTTTGACAGCATTGACAGAAGCAGAGTTTCCAAATCCCATGAAACAATTACCCCACTTTGATCAGACTTCCTCCTCCTCCTCCTCAAAAACAATCTCCCATACTTAGTCAGGAAAAAAAATGAGAAAAACTGGGAAATTCAAAGAAGAGCCATATGGTTGATTAGGAAACTGGAAACCAAGACTCGTGAATGCAGCTGTGTTACATCAGTCTTGAGATAATAAGCACTTAGACTTATATACCACTTCATGATGCTTTACCACCCTCTCTAAGCGGTTTACAGAGTCAGCCTATTGCCCCCAACAATCTGGGTCCTCATTTTACCGATCTCAGAAGAATGGAAGGCTGAGTTAACCTTGAGCCTGGTGAGATTCGATCTGCCAAACTTCTGGCAGCTGGTGATCAGCAGAAGTAGCCTGCAGTACTGCATTATAGCCATTGCGCCACCTAGGCTCATTTGAGATGAGAAGCTTGAGGAAAGATGTGAAAGCACACCACCCAGGAAAGGATCAGGATCACCATATGACTGCACCCAATGTTATGTCTTTTTTTTTTTTTTTTTTTTTGAGTGGTAATCCATTGTACTTAATGGCCATTTTTTGCTAGAAACCAAAAGTAAATGCTAGTTTCCAGCAAAAAAATAAATAAATCTTAAATTGTGGTCACATGACTGTGGGATGCTGCAAATGACCTTAAAAGCCCAAAATGTAATCATGTGACCATGGGGACAGGGTGAGATGGGCAGCCATCAGAATTTCCAAAGCAGGTCATGAGTAACTCTGAGGAAGCCTGTGGTAACTTCAAATAGTTTTTAAGCAACCAGTCATAAGTCGAAGACTACCTGTAGAACGGTACCAAGTTTGAAAAAAAGGGCCATACGTAAAGACATGAAATGAGAATAATGTCCTCTGATCTTTATTCAGAGACCACATTAGTATTTCAATATTTTCCATATTATTGGATATGATGACTAATTGTTAAATAGAAGGAAATATCCACAGGGATATGTTTCTCCAGAGGTTAGTGTTTGTATTAATGAACAGTGCAATTTCTCATCTCAGAAGCCACATTCTGAAGAAAAAAGAAGCCATTGTAATAATATTACAGATTATAGAAGTTTATTTTAATACATTTCATTACCCAAATGCATTAATCAAAGAAATGAAGATACAAATTATGCACAGGAGCAATATTTGTAAGGCTGTGATGCAAGGACACCATTTTACTGAATTTAATCTGAAAATGCCCAGAATTGCTCTGCAAACTACTACATTTTGGACGGTAAAACTATTACTTTCTATACATTTATTAAGTTACCTCTGTATCCATTATGTGAAGAAAAATCTTTCTTAGAAATTATTTTGTTTGGGGTGGGGGGAAATCCATTGCTCAGTTTATCATGAATCTTTTGTTCATTAAGTGTGCAGAGATTAATAAAAGCAAAAAAGCAAAGGGTGAAAATAACCTCTAATACTCGAGTATTATATAATTCAAGAGACAATTAGTAGTTCTCTGATTCTAAGCATTTTGTATGAAAGTTCTTTGAACTATATTAATTCTTCTGAATCAATACAATACGTCAGAAACTGCATAACTCATCTTGCTTGTCTGAAAGATCATAATGCAGAATGAGGAAAAAGAGCATTACATTCATTGAATTCCTGAAAAGCAATATCTTGAATTATGATTATGATGATGGGATACCGTGTGTATAAGAAGATACAGTGAGTATAAGAAGATATAATGCCTATGCTTATTGTATCTGGCAATTGTGTGTTTTATAAGACAGTTCAGTGATTATGATCAAAGGCAAATGTTGCTGATTATTTAGAACTTAAATAATATCCCCTCATTTACTAGGTCAGGTCTATTCAGATCATTTATATTAAAAATTTGTTCCAAAAAGATGACGTGAAGAGGAGGAAATATCTAGTATTTATTATGATGAAAAGATCTATAAAACTGTCCCCAATTTCAGTCTAAAAGACAAAAGAGAAGAGGAAAGAATAGAGAAGAAAAAAACAGACAAATCTGATGTACTTAACTCTTCAGGTTAAGGTAGGTAGGTAGTTTTAAAACAGGAAGGAAGACTTCAGGAATGATCCCAATGGGATCTTGTTCCTCTAGCCATGGCATTTGTGAGTGACAAAATGATTAAGGTCCAGATTTGCAATAATGGACAGTGTTCTCTACACTAGTTTCTCACAGTAGAGTCATCTGTGAGAGGAGAACAAGAGCAAAGGAAAATGGAATAGAGTTTCTTTATAAATAATTAACATCACTTATTTGTCCTTTTCAGTGAGTTACCTTGTAGTCCAATCTGGTTAGAATCATTTTTTTGCACTTCTGAATAGATAAAAATCACAAACTTAGTCCAAGTTATCTATTATATTTTAAAAATAAGTTGGTACATATTCCAAAAAAACAGCAAAGCAGCAGCAGATCATGAGAAGGTGGTTTCTAGTCCCGCTTTAGGCATGAAAGCCGTTTGGGTCCCCATGGGCCAGTCAGTCTCTCTCAGTCCAGTTCACCTCACAGGGTTATTGGTGTGGGGAAAATAGGAGAAAGAAGGAGTTATTAGACATGTTCACTGCCTTGAGTTATTTAAAAAATACAGATACAGTAAATAAAAGAAACAACCATTACCACAATTGATCCCGAAATTTCTGTTGCTAAGCAAGACAATTAGTTTTGCCTCATTTTAGGACCTTTCTTGCCACCGTTATTAAATAAATCACTGCAGTTGTTAAGTTAGTAACATGGTTGTTAAGTGAATCTGACTTCCCCATTGACTTTGCTTGTCAGAGAGTCACAAAAGATGAACACATGATCAAGGACACTGTAACTGTCATAAATACATGACAGTTGCCAAGTGTCCAAATTTTGATTATTTGACCAATGGGGATGCTGCAATGGTCGTAAGTGTGAAAATCGGCCATAGTTCACTTTTTTCAGTGTTGTTGTAACTTCTAAAAGTCACTAAACAAATGGTTGTAAGTCAAGACTACCTGTAATAAAGGTAAGGTATAAATAAAGAATAAATAAATATTTGATGTACAAAAAAACAGCTGACTTTTATTTTTGCATTACTAAACCTCCAGATGATATGAAAATTCACTTAATTCTTTGACATTTCTAATATACAATAAATATGAAATGTTGTAGGTATAGACGTTTTTGTTGGTTGAGTTTCATCCATGGTCTGTATGTTCTATGTTCCATGCCATATTTCATTTCGCAAATATTTCCTTGAATAATATAGTTCACCCCGACTCTTTCTTTTTAGCATGTAGTTCTGAAAGACAATAGTGAGAGTGATGTTCTTTTCTTCCAGTTAATTGTGATTGTGATTGAATTTCTATCCTCTTGCAAACTCACTTTTTTCCATTTCTCCAGATGAAGCCCAGGATGGATGCAGTGACAAACAATAATAACCAGAGCCTTGGACAACTTGTGACGGAGTTCATTCTGTTAGGGTTTCCTCAGGTCCAAGTTTTAGAAATTTTCCTTTTTGCAATCATCTCTATTATTTTTACTCTCACTCTCTTGGGCAATCTGATTATCATCAGTGTTGTAATAACTGATGCTCATCTTCATACACCCATGTACTTTTTTCTGGGAAATCTTTCCCTTCTGGAAATATTCTTCACCTCAGCGATTGTGCCCAAGATGTTGACTAACTTGCTGGCTAAGAAGAAGACCATCTCATTTTCAGCTTGCATTGCTCAGTGTCACTTCTATTTCTTCCTGGGGTCCACTGAGTTGCTTCTTCTGAGTGTGATGTCCATTGACCGCTATGTCGCTATCTGTAACCCACTGCGTTATCCCATCATAATGAACAGTCATGTCTGCATCTCTCTGGTGGTTAGTTGTTGGGTGGGTGGCTTTTTGCATATCCTGTGGCCAACAGTAGTGATATCCCAGCTCCCTTTCTGTGGCCCAAATGTAATCAATCACTTCTTTTGTGACAGCACCCCACTCTTGAAGCTTTCCTGTTCTGACACACAGCTCATTGAACTTGTTGATGTGCTTCTTGCTTCCTTTATGCTTGTGGGCACTCTATTGCTCATCACAGTATCTTACATCTACATTATCTCCACTGTGCTTAGGATCCCATCAGCCACTGGGAGGCGCAAGGCTTTTTCTACCTGTGCCTCACATATCACGGTGGTGACAATCTATTATGGCAGTTCCATTTTTATGTATGCTCAGCCAGCCCAGAGCTCCTCTCTGGAGTTCAACAAAGTGGTGGCCATTCTGACAGCTGTGGTGACACCACTTCTAAATCCCCTTATTTACAGCCTGAGAAATGAAAAAGTGTTGGATGCCCTGAAAGGAATGATGAAGAGGAAGCATGCTTCCCAGAGAAGCAGATAATTTTTGATATGATTTCTTATCTTCCATGCAAATCTACCTTAATCAATACAAGGTTTGTCAGGGATCCTACGAATTAGCTGCTGTATGTGGAAGAGGCATGAACTCCATGATGAACCAGACACTGTGTTAATGCTTGGACTTTGTTTTAATCTCCTTTCTTTCTGATGAGATGAGATTCATTGATGAATCCAATGAATATCAAAGCTGAATTACTGTAATACTTGAAGCCTAAACTGAAAGTTCAAGAGAACTATTTTTGTTGAATCATAACAACAAACCTGTATTAAATATTAAAATAAGTTCAGTTGCTGGAAAACAAACAGACAAACAGTTAAATTTAAATTAAACAATTAGCCTGCCCTTCTGATTTTTTTTTCATTTTTAACTTGTAAATTTTAATCTTGTTTGAATTTTGTTTTTACATGTGCTTTTAGATATGTTTTAAATGGTTTTATTATGTTGTTTGTAAACCTCCCAGAGTCACTTAGGTGAGTTGGGCAGTGTTGAAATGTAATAAATAAATAAATAAATAAAATCTTTTTATTTTTTAAAAAGTGGAGAAATTAAAAAATAAAGAAAAAGAAGAAGTTTGCTTTTCCCCCTTCTGTTGTAGGCTATTGTGTGGAAAGTAGTCTTTGCACCTTCCTTTCTTATAGATTTGCTTTTCATTTATTTGCATTGTTGATAAGTTTTAATAAAAGTCTAAATTGTTTTTAAAAACAATTTGAACAGCATCTGAGTAATTTGTATGGAGCAAAGCTCCATTTGGGAAGAATACTTATTTTGCACAACATATGGTAAATCTATACAAACAGATCAATGAAATTGGCTTCAAAACAAATTCTCTTCAGTATAAGTCAGAATGATGACTCTTTTTTCATTGCAAACACTAGTCCTGTCACGGCTCTAGTAAAGCCAGAGAAGGACCCTGAGGAAGTTTTCTTAACTTCCTCAGAGAAAGGTAGAAACCACATAAAATAAAGTTGGACTGGAAGACCTCTAAGGTCCCTTCCAACCAGAGGTGGGTTTCAACAGGTTCTGTCCAGTTCTGGAGAACCGGTAGCGGAAATTTTGAGTAGTTCGGAGAACCGGTAGTAAAAATTCTGCCTGGCCCTGCCCCCATCTATTCTCTGCCTCCTGAGTCCCAGCTGATCGGGAGGAAATGGGGATTTTGCAGTAACCTTCCCCTGGATTGAGGAGGGAATGGAGATTTTACAGTATCCTTCCCCTAGAGTGGGGTGGGAATGGAGATTTTACAGTATCCTTCCTCTGCCACGCCTACCAAGCCACGCCCACCAAGCCATGCTACGCCCACCAAACCACGGCCACAGAACCAGTAGTAAAAAATTTTGAAACCCACCATTGCTTTCAACCCTATTACTCTATGTTCTGTGTTCTAGATATGGTCCTATGTTTGTTTACTGCTTGGGTTCTATCTGACATATAACCTGGTAAAATGTATGAATTGAAGAGTGGAGAAAAGAACCATAACTTTCTCCAAAAGCCTTACCATTCTGGGGTGCCTAACATTTAGATCCAAACCATTTACAGTTTTTAAGCTTAAAATCAACATCTGGAATCATACTTAGAAAGCAGCTGATAATCAATACAGATCTTCAACACTGACCCAATCCTTTTTTTTAATCAAGAGAAACTGATAGAGTTCCATAAAGAGTACTTTTGATATTATCAAGTAACAACCAGGTGTCATGGACAGAGGGATGATGGGAATCTGAGCCATTTATGGGAAGGTTAGTCAGTATTTGGCAGGAAACACAGGCAGATAAGCTAGTTCTACTTTATTGTAAAACTATATTAATCTTGTAAATTATCCTGCCATCACTTTTGCAGCTGATAAGTTAGGGAAGATCTCTCTTTAGCCTCTTGCTTCATCCATTATGAAGCTGTGTGCTATCCTCCCTCTTATCTGATTATTCCTTACGCTGCATCTCTTCACCCAGTCTTCCAAAATCATTCCCACGTACCTTACACGGGATCACTGGATCCTTAATGCTCCAGTTTTCCTTAATTTCTCAGTGACTTTTGGTCAGTGGAGGAATTCAAAAATTTTCCCTACCGGTTCTGTGGGTGTGGCTTGGTGGGCGTGGCTTGGTGGTCATGTGACTGGATGGGCGTGGCTGCACAACTGACTCACACACAATGTAAAAGCAGATGGACTTCACACAAAATGGCCCCTGCAACAAGCAGGAACCTCACAGAGTCACAGAGATCTCAAAAACCAACTATCACACTTTATACAAAAATAATACAAAAGCTACACAACTGACACACACAATGCAAAAGCAGCTGGACTTCACACAAAATGGCCCAGGAGTGAAATGTAAAATTTGTTACTACCAGTTCTGTGGGTGTGGCTTGGTGGGGGGGTTAATGTGACGGGTGGGCATGGCCAACTTTTTTTAAAAAAAACTTTTCAAAGCATTTTTTCTAATGCTTTTGTTGTGGCTCCGTCCTCCGAGCCTATCTTATCGGAGGAAGAAGACTCCAAACATGAAGGAGAGGAGCCGGCCAGGCCTCCCTCTCCAGGCCCCTCCTCTCTGGCAATGCCTCAGGTGTCTGCTGAGGGAGATGAGATTGACCAGGAGCCAGGTGTCTCCGATGACAGCGATGGGGATGATAAGTCATTCCTGGATCCACGCCAATGAAGGTGAGATAAACGTTTGCAGCAGATGAGGAGGCGTGCCAAGGATTAAGCTGAGTCACTGGACCACACCCCACAGGCTATATAAGAGAGTGTGGTGGCCATTTAGACTCTGTGACGGACAAAGCTAACTTCTGGCTAGTCACTTTGTACAACGCCAAATCTGCTGAAGGTTTCATGTTTGAGTGGACTGTTTTGAAAACTGTGTGTATACGTTGGTGTTATTTGGTGGAGGAACACTCCCTCTTCTTGTAGTAAAGCACTTGGCAGACGGTTATCGTATTGCTGCCAAGTTCCTGATAACAAACCTTGTGTGAGTACTTCTTTAACCCCTGGCTGGCTGTTTGTGTGTGTGTGGGGACGGGGACAGAACAGCTTTGAAAAACCTCTGCTGATCAATACGTCTATTTTGTTTCTCTTTTTTAAGTCTTTATGTTAGCCATCTTCTTAATTTATTAGCTGATTCTAAGTGTTTTTGCTTTGCTACTTTTATCTTATCTCTCAGTTTATCCAGCTCTAGAATATTAAGCCGGTGGTTTAGCAATATTGTCTGTTCTTTCGCTTCCATAGATAGTGGATTATCTTGTAGCTGTTTCTCAGCTTTCGTTAATTTATTTAATATCTCATTCCTTTCTTGCTCTTCTTTTTTATGTTTGATGGCCATATGTTTTATAATAAGACCTCTTATGAAAGCCTTAGCAGTATCCCAAATTATTTGTAATGGCATTCCTGGTGTCTTATTTTCTTGAAAGAAGAGGGTTATTTCTATCTTCATTTTTTGTGTAAATTCACTTTCATTTAATATCTCTGTTCTCATCATCCATCTCGTTCTATTTTTCCCCTCTTCCTTTAGTACTGCCAAAACTGGATTATGATCCGCCCAGTCATTCGGCAAAATTCTAATTTCTACTATCTGGGAGTTAAGTTCCTGTGACATCCAGATCATGTCTAATCTGGACCACGATTTATGTCTAGAAGAGTAATAAGTAAATTGCTCCACATTTGAATTATGATCACGCCAAGTGTCTTTCAATCCTAATTTGTCTCTCATTTCCTTACAGATGGCTGGTAAAATCCTTTTGTCTTGTCCTTTATTTCCTTTTTTGGTGTTGTCTCCTGTTTTATGATCTTGTGTCCTGTTAATAATTGCATTAAAGTCACCCATGAGACATACTTGCTCGTATTCCATTTCTCTGATTTCTCTTCGTATTCTTTGGAAGAATAAGCTTTGTTTAGTATTGGGGGCATAGATTCCAATCAATAGTACCTTATTTTGTAATAGTTCCACTAACATTAGTATTCTTCCCTCTTCATCAGCAAATAGTTGTTTCAGCGAGAGATGTGCTTTTACAAATATAGCTACTCCTCTTTTCCTCTCCTCTGAGGCCGCTACAAACAGTTTCCCTGCCTTGGGACATTTCAATAAATTTGTTTGTGACAATTTGATATGGGTCTCTTGTAAACATGTTATATCCATTTTGGCTTTAACTATTTTGGATAAAATGCGTTTTCTTTTTGTCGCGGCATTAAGACCATTAACGTTTACTGTCAGTAATCTCACTCCTTGATTCATTTCTATCTATTTGCCCCTTTAATCTTGGCTGCTAAGCAAGTCTCTACTCCGTATTCTTCCACACCCCCTTCTTCCCCCCTCCTCCCATTTCTTTTCCCCTTTCCGCAATCTGCTTGTGCTCCTCTCTCCTTTCTCCACTCCTCTTTCTGATCTCTCTGACTCTCTTTGACTACTTCTTTGTCTCTTTCACTTTCGCCATGTCCAAAATAAGTCTCACAAAAATCTTGTGCATCATATATACTCTCAATTTTAATTTTAATTTTAATTTTCCGCTCTTGCCATGTCACTAAGAGTCCTTCAGGCAGTAACCATCGATACGGAGCATTATGTTTTCTCAATTGTGAGGTTATAAATTGGTAATTATGCCTCTGCTCTCTCACTCTTCTAGGGATCTGTTTTAGAATTGTGATCTGCCGTCCTTTATATGTAACACTCTGATCCCTGGCCTTGTGGAGAGTTTCGTCTCTTAAAGTCTTTTTGGTTAGCCTCACATGTACTTCTCTAGGCAAGTTGTGACGTCTCGCATAGTTGGTATATACACGGTATGCTTCGTCTATATCGCCACGTACTTCTTCCTTTCTCCTCCCCACTACTTCTGCAATTACTTCTCCCACAATTTCACCCAGTTGTTCTTCTTTATCCTCAACCACGTATTGATCAGTTAGAAGATAAGGAGGGAAATTTAATAAGAGATAAAGGAGGAAAGGAAAAAATTACAGTGGACTTTTATAAAGAATTATATAAAAAAGAAGGGACTTTTGCAGGTGCGATAAAAAACTATATAGAGAAGTCGGATTTACCCAAAATACCTAATTTAACAAAAGAAATATTAGAAGAGGAAATTACTTTAACGGAGATTGAGAGAGCAGTGAAGAAACAAGGGAATTTAAAAACACCTGGCACAGATGGTCTCCCGGCGGAGTTATATAAAACAATGTTTGAGGTAATGGGAGAACATATGAAAGATCTATTCAATGACGTTTTGGAAAAAGCAGAAATTCCCCATTCAT